CTCGAGGCCTGGCTGCAGCCCCTCTCGGCGGCTCGCCTTTTCCGTTGGGCTCCTCAGGAGAGGCCCAGGCCGCCAGGCGGGCCTGGCGACGCGGAGGTAAGAATAGCGGCGGCCCGTCGGAGAGTGAAGGCAAGGCGGCGTGAGGGAAGAAGGGGGGGGTGGCCGGGAGAGGGAAGGACGGGGACAAGGCAGGCCGAAGGAGGGCCCTCGTCGGCTGCCGGAGCTTGCCCGGACGCCCTGAGCGAGCAGGCCTCGGCGGCGTGAGGCAGAGGCGGGGAGAGGGGAAGGAAGGGAGGGAGCGAGGGACGGACGGAGTCTCCGGCCCGAAGGCGCTGGGAAGCGCAGGCGGACGCTCCGGCCTGGAGTGGGTGACTAACGGAGAAGCAGGCCCGGCTCCTCCTCGGGCGGCTCTCTTTCGTCGAAAGCCGGGCTTCAGGTGGGTGGCGTGGGAAGGGGCTTGCCGAAGGTGGGGGGGCGGCTCAGGGAAGGGATCCTCGCTGGAGGGAGAGATGCCGCTTTTGTTTAGTCGCCACCGGCAGCTCGGGTGCCTCTTGGCTTCCCCGCACACCCAGCCACCCTGCCTGCCTGGCTCCCTCTCTCGCTCTCGCGGAGCCCATGTTGCTCCCTTCGCCCTGAGTCCGCTTCTTTCCCCGACCCCTCCAGCGTCCCCCCACCATCTCCCTTTGTTTACCAGGCGGCTGAAGAGAGGCGGTTAGAGGCGAGAGAGAGAGAGAGAACGAGAACACGGGGAGGGTGTCGCGAGCGAGCGGGCGGAAGACGGCCGCCAACCAGCAGCCTCAGGAGTGGCGAGGGCCGTGATCCTGGCTTTTAAAAAGCAGCATGGAAGGAAGCTCCTGGCAAGGAGGAGCAGGGAGAGCCACCCGCCACGCCAAGGGGGGGACCGGAGGGAGGGGAGCCCATTTGTTTTGGCACCCACTAAATCCACGAGGCCCGCTCCTTATTGGTTGTCAGGCTGGCTATCAGGGACTCGGTGCGGTGGCTTCCTGCTGCTTGCAACGGTGGCCCCGCCTTTTGCTCGGGTTCCCCCTCTCTTTCCCCCCCCCTTCTCGCTTTTTTCCTCTTTTCTTTTTTTCAAAAGGACAGCAGAGCAGAAGCTTGCCGGTAACTCAGCCGCCTGACGCACGCGGGCAACGGTCTTTAATGCCGTTTCGTTTGTATCGTGCAGGCTTAGAACGATATTAAGCCGCTGGAGTTGCTTTTGTGTTCAGAACTCTTTATTCGCAGATCTGCTCTTACTGAAATATTTTTTTTTAAAGAAAACACTGTGCAACTATCTATCAGGATCTCTCCTTGGTAACCTTGTGATACAGAAACTGATTAGGAGATTTTTTTTAAAACTGATCTCCATTGTGCACATGCTTACTTGGATTTGGATCAGAATCCAGGGAAGCACAAGCTGTATTACTACCAGGCCCAGTTTGTAAAACAGCTGATGGATTTTATCTGTCCCTACACATACACTCAGAAATAATCCCACCTTGTTTACTAGAGCAACAATCTTGTGGGCCTCTAGAAAGTAGGCATAGAATTGTACCCGTATTCTTACTGTATGCTGGAACTGCTGTAGAAGAAAAAGTCTTAGTCTGTATTTTATTTTTTCTTGATACTGCTACCTTTGCTACTAATCATGGCAGTCAGTGTCAAAGTGCTTCATTTTTTCCAATGTGTGAAGTTGTTTTGCCTCTGTATACTGAAGTCACCTTACAGAATTGTTTCAAAGATTGCTGAGAGAATCCTTTCAACCTTTAGTGTCAGTTAGTTCTCGGTTCAAATCTCTACGTAATTGCTCAAAAAGCTCACTTTGACTCTGGCTAGTCACGATTTCGTAATCTAACCTATCTCATGCTTGTTGTGTGCTTAAAGTGGAGGGAACAGAAGGCAAGTCAGAGTTTAATTTTAGCATATAAATTCAGTCAGAAACCAATGAGCTAAGTATTAATGAAATATGTAATGTTTATAAAATTGTACAGATGTGCCAACTTCTCAAGTAAATGTTGTTTTTTAGGGTAATCTGGGCAACACTATGAACTGCTGAACAAAATAGAACAGTATACATGTGAGATAGCTGAAGATCAAGAAGAGGATTATCTTAAGTGGACATTTTATATCCAGCTTGGAAACTGGAAGAATTTTTATTTATATTTTTATCCTGGTGAATATTTACAATGAATGGACACAGCGATGAAGAAAGTGCACGGAACAGCAGTGGAGAATCAAGGTATAAATTTATATTTAAAGATTTGCCATTAGTGTGTGATATTTTCTTATATTTACATGAATGTCAGGCGTCAGAGAAAAACTGTTCACTTTTGCCCTTATTTGAAGGTTGTATCATTGAAAATAATTGAATTTACATACAAATAAATGAGCAGGAAAGAGCCTAGGCCCAGATCCTACTAAATCCATTTATATGTGCCTCATATAGTATTCCCAAATATGAGTGTTTTTGCAATAGCTTTATAGTTATAATTCAGATAGATGGATGGAATATACCCATTGAATATGTATCTGGTTATACCACATGAGGTAATACATAATATATACTTTGTGGTCTGCCCTAAACAGAACTGTACCTTATTGCAGTGTTCTTTTCTTCTGATCCTCATTTTCTGTCTCAGATATTTCATATCCTCGTTGACAAGGGAGTACTATCCCCAGATTTGTATGAAACAAGTATAGTTGCATGCGGAATAATTGATTCTCTGGCTCTCTAAACCTCTCTGCAGAGATATTGCTTGTATCAAGTCCTGATTATTATATATGTAAGGAAATAGTTACATGTATAAGGAAATCTGTATGAGACTACATTATTTTTCATACCTGTTTTAAACAATAGAGATAAAATGATAAGAAAACAGCTCATAAGAACACAAGAAGTACGGTGCTGGATCAGGCCAAGGGCCCATCTAGTCTAACTCCCTGTATCTCACAGTGGTCCTACCAGATGCCTCTGGGAGCACTAGATGCCTGTCTCCTGATCCCCCTCCCTTGCATCTGACATTTTGAAGTACCTTCCTTTTAAGCCTGGAGATTGTACATCCCCATCCTGGCTTGTAACCTGCGACAGACTTTTCCTCCAGAAATCTGTCGATTCCCCTTTTAAAGGCATCTAGGACAGATGTAATCACCACACCCTGTGGCAAGGAGTTCCTCAGAATAACAACATGCTGGGTAAAGAAATATTTTCTTTGGTCTGTTCTCACTCTCTCCACACTCAGTTTTAGTGGATGTCCCCTGGTTCTGGTATTGCGTGAGAGTGAAAAGAACTTCCCTCTATCCATCCCTTGCATCCATCCCCAGCTCAGTAGCGTGTTGCTGAAAATGCAAGTGGTAGATAAAACAGAAATAGGGGTTTAGCAAAGATTTTTCAGGGAGCTGTGCTCAATATATGTTTCATATAAATTTTGACAAAGTACTGACAATTTTGCTACAAACATTTTAAGACTATAGATAGTGAAAAGTAATATGGAAAATAAGAAAATTCAGTATTCATCTTTAAGGACCTTTGTTTTTAATTTGTGCTGTCATGTTACCTTTGACCTATGCTGACCTTATGAATTGATGACTTCCAGAAGGGCCTGTTATTAATAGCCCTGCAGATCTTACAAACTCAAGGGGCACCTTGAAGACTAAATGCTACATTAGAATATAAGCTTTCATGGAACATTTTGACTTTGTCAAATATCAATAGTTAGAATACAGAGACTACATGGTAAAGTATTCATGCAAGGCTCTAAGATAAAGAAAGAATGGTATTTGGTTGCATTTCACACCAAGGCCTCTGTTTGGTGTTTATCGCCATCATCCTAGAACTGCAGGACTGGAAAAAACTCTGTGGATCATCAAGTCCAGCCCCTGTCAAGTAGGCACAGTGGGGAATCAAACTCCCAACCTCTAGCTCTTCAACCAGAAACCTAAACCAGTGAGCTATTCAGGTTTTTGAAGCCTGATCATGTAAACAGCAACAATGATTAAAGGAAAGAACTTCATTTATTGAGTGAAACCATATCTTTGCCTGATGCCTTCCCCTCTTCCTAACACTTTTTAGTGAGTCATGTCTTCTCATGTACAATAGCCTCAGTACTGTTATTTTATCTACTTCACTTATTAGCAAATACACCTAGAATATGCACCTGTGTGCACACTTGAGTGTGAAATTGAGTATAGCAGCAGGAAACTCATATTTGAAGGCAAGAATAAAACCTTGGGCAGCAGTTCTGTATCATCTTCTCTGAGGGTAACCCCCACTGAACTCGGTCTGAATACACATATTTAGGATTATATTGTGTTTCTCGTACAGTTTTACTAGTCTGCTATTACCTATGCTATAGGATATCTTGAACAGTGGCTCTTACAATGTAGATATGAAAACTCCTTGGCAAGTGATTGATTGCAAGATTGGTTTAATATCTGACTAGGAACAGCTTTCTTATATGACTATTTTATATGTTGTTTTTCTACATTTAAAGTAATTTATCAATACAGATATTACACATGTGTGCACAGGTGTTTTTAGGAATACAAAGAGCAGTGCTACAGTCCAGAATGCTGGTTTTGACATGGATCTCCTAGATGTGTCTGGGAACAATGTGGTGCAATGGCAGTAGGTCTTTCACAGTGTTGTATTTTAGTAGTGGTCATGAGCTGTTTCTGAACTTGAACATTGCATTTAGCTTTACAGCCGGTTTCAGTGGTAAATGTATCTTCTGTACATTTTTCTAATTCTTTTTTGAAAACCATTTAAAGTAGCAACTATTGAGAAGAACTGTATTTTGTTAGTCTTAAATCTGTTGCAGTGTGAGTTGATTATATGAATTGACCATGCAGTTGGAGTTTGTACCTTCTTACATGGCCCCAATACATGCCCCTAAAGTTTGCTTCAGAAGGTTTCCCAGTCTTCTTCAGCTGACCTAGAGCAGTGGTTCTTAACCTTTGTTACTCGGATGTTTTTGAACTGCAACTCCCAGAAACCCCAGACAGCACAGTTGGTGGTGAAGGCTTCTGGGAGTTGCAGTCCAAAACTCCTGAGTAACCCAAGGTTAAGGACCGGTGATAGAGTATGTGATCCTTGGCTATTCAAGCATAATGTCACAATTATGATAGATTGACTTGTGAATAGGTTCCGAGATGCAAACTGAAGGCCAGATTGAGGCTGGTGCTACTTTTGCAGCCTTATGAGGCACAGGATAGATGTTAGCAAGATATCTCCTTTCCTGCAAGATGACCTTATTCTGCTGGCCTCAAGGAGATTGAGAACTTGAGATATGACAGTTTGTTTCCTGTCTGTCACATACTGTACAAGGATGGCCAGAATCGTGCTACTTAAAGTCTGTCACAGTGAGTCCATTGACATAGATCTCAACAACAAATTGTTGTGAATTAAGAAGCCAGCATAGGCTTTTGCTCTTGCCTACCAGGCATGTGATTTGGTACATGACAGAAAATGACTACACTGATTTCTGAAGTTGTGGAAATGCTGATAGATTTATGCTTACGTAATACTTCAATTGGATTTTGGCCAGTACAGGTATATCTAAAAATCATTATTTAGCACTTAGCTGTTCAAAGCGGGATTTCTGGGATGTCTTGGAACTGCAAGAGAGGCAGTAAAGTAGTGGTGAGACAGAACCAATGTAGAATGTGGTTAAAGGCAAATTATCAGTTTAAATTTTCTGCCTGAGTTCTGATAAAACAAGTTTATTAGTATTCTTCGTTCTTGGTGTGGCAGTTCATGAGTATTAATGTGTTTGGCATAGAAACTGAATTCAGAACAGATCTCCAGTTGTAAAGACAAAATTACAATGCTCATTAGTAGATTAATACAAAGGGTGAAGTATAGAATTTTTAATGAAGTTAACTTTGTTTTTTAATGCAATTCTCTGCATCTGTGCATTCTCAAGTCCAGCTATTTACTTTCTTCTAAACTGTTTTGATGACATAATGATGACATAATATATATTTATTATGTCATCATTATGTCATCAAAACAGTTTAGAATTTAATAAGCTGCATTTATGGCTTCTGTGACTTTTCACTCTTGGAAGACTCGGCTCAAAAACTTCCCATTTCTCTTTAGACATGTTGCTTTAAAGGAGCTGCCAACAGACCTTTGTGACATCACTGTCTACAGCTTCTATCCTGTTCTTCTGCTGACAGTTGTTGCATTCTATTGGAAATGTTTATTGAGTATGTTTGAGGATACAATATGAGAAGGATGGAGAATAACTAGGCAGTAGATAGAGGGGTGTACTGGTGAAGTGCAGAATTGAGAAAAGAGTGAGAACTGGAGTTTTACGGGGGTTCAAAAAGGCACAGGAGTGTAAGAGAAACAGAGCAAAAAGTGTGGGTAGTGGTGAAGGCGGGGCTAGCAGATATAAGAGGGGGTGAAGGAGGACTTCCTGCAGGCTGGGAGTGGATGTGGGTAGAAGACCCGTGGACTGGAAAGATGGAAAAGCTGAGAGTCCCCAAAGAAGAAGCTGATGCTAGGAGAATACTGTATCCCCAAACCATCTTACTGGGGGGGAAAGAGAGACTAAGGAATGGAGAAGGAGGCTGAGGAAGAAAAAGGTGAACGATGGAAAAGATTAGAATGGAGAATCTGGGGGATGCAGCAGATGGAGCGACAGGAGGACCATGGCCAATGACTGATCCCTCCACAGACCTTGCCTGGGTGGACCAGTGAGACAAGGACACAATCCCCTTATTGGAGGGGGAGAATGGACCATTATTAAACCCAAGTGTTTCTCTGGAATGGCCAGGACCCTGGAATACTCAAGAGGGAAACCCTTTCAAAGCTGATGAATGGAAACCCCTGTCAGACCCGTTGTTTGACAGGGAGAAAGGTTGGAACGCTTTTGTTGACACGACTTCTGTTAAATAATGCAATAAACATTACTCTGATTTCAAAACCATGTAAGACTGGTGATTTATTCGGGGCAAGTCAGGAGCGAACCCTCACATCTCAACAAAATTAAGAGGCCATAATTTCAAGCTGCATCTCTAGTATGCAAAGGCTGAACGGCGCAATCAGGTTTACAGGAAACCAATTTATCAGAGAGATAAGGTCTGCTTATTTCAGGCTAAGAATTTTGGCATACTAGTCCATTATGTATGTATGTAGGTACAGCCATACACAGTGCTTCTTTCTCAGCACTGGGACCCAAGGCAGCTGTTAAAAAGAATGCAAAATTAAAATATGATAAAATTACAACATACCTG